GCTCTGCGCAGCGCGCCCTCCATTCAACGCTTTGGCACCCTCTCCTTGCCCGGTACAAGAGGATTACAGTGACCGGCTGCCGAAGGGGCTGGAAGGGGGAACCTTTGGCTTCGGAGAGCCGGCATCCGCACCAGCGGTAGCGACAAAGCACACCCTCATCTGCTTAAGCGAAGTAGCTGCTGTCAGCGTTGGCTCGAGCCACTTGGGGTAGGACTTGGCCGCTGCTCGCCAAAGCCAGTGGACTTCTATGGTGACACTTTAACGCGGGTTCCTCCCCCTCACTAGCCTTTCTCAGGCCCTGCGTATCCAGGTGTAATGGAAGGCTGCTTTTCCCCTGGCTTAGGATTAGTTAACACGGAGAGGGAGAATACGAGGGCCGTGCAGGTGAATTCACCCTCAGGAAAATGCTACATCGAGCCTTGTGGACTAAACCCGCCCCTCGCTCGCTAGGGATTGAAGGCAGGAGGTCTCCTTGAGCATAGCGGAAAGAACGAGGTGGCGGGGAAGAGGCTGGTTGCCTTCGCCAACACGGCGCATCCGAAAGGTGTTGTGGGGCTACAATTCCCACCAGGCGAGACTCACGGCACTGTAGGGGTCCAATACACCTGGAGGGGTCCCGGTTGCCGAAGCATCTCCCTATACCCGCTTCCCCATATCATCCCCTGATCCGGGCAGCGAGGTGTTATGGGCGTGGCATAAAGGCTTCCGAAATAGTAACTGGGGGCGGGTGGCTAAGCCTGCGCACGGGACAGGGGCTGGCACCGACTTAATCGTTCTGCCTGCAGTGGAACCGGGCCAGACCGCACGCGCACTCGCGCCTCCTCCGTCCTCCCGCGCCAACAGCGGTTCCCGGCCTCGCCACAGCAAAGCCAGATCTCGTTATTGCACCTGGTTTATTATTGAATCCTTTAACTCCTCGCAGTAGTGGCTACATCGATACACGTAATAAACTGATAGGGGGATGGGGTCGAGGGAGGCGGCCTTTGCTTTGTACAAGCGAAGCAGCTTTTGGCGGCGCCTGACCCCCGTTTCCCCATACCGCCCAGGCGCGGAGCGTGGCGTCTCCGGGGGCCGCACCTGACCCCACCCGACCCCTTCAGAGCCATTGTGGAAGCCGGCGGGCGCTCTCCCCTGGGGGAGTCCAAGTAGAGAATCTGTCCTTGGTCGCGGCGGCCCGGGCATCCGGCTAGGCTCCGAGAGTGGACGAAGTGCTGGAGCCCAGCCGCGGGGGAAGGCCACCCTCCCACTTCGCTGGGAGACCGCTTCTCCGGACGTCGCTCACTTTCTCCCCAAAGCGTCCCAGCCAGGCCGCCGAGTGGCTGCGGAGGAGCTGCGCTGCCTACCAGGCCCGGATGCCCTGAGTGCAGGAAGAGCCGGCGCCCCCCTGGTGCAGGGGCTGAGCTCCGCTGGGGAAGGCGCCCATGTTCCTGTCGGGTCCCCGCTG